TCAAGTAATTACAGAACTTGCGTAATAATTAAATTTTATCCATATATATAAGCTTAAATCTTAATATTTATAATATACAAAATTCATCAATGTTTAGGAACATTGATAAATTTCACACAGTATCAATTTTATTTAGAATGTTACAGCTTAGTTTTTTCTCCCTCCCCACTGTATGTGTACAGAAAGCATGCAATAAAATCCGTGATTCTCAACTCATGTTCAATTCATAAAATTTTTACTAATAGAAAACACGTTTCTTCTTAAATAAAGAAATAAAAATCTATTCTGAATTCTTACAGTTAAATAAAATTCAAATTTTAAGTAGTACGAGTGTTGCTGGCATCCAAAATCCATATTTTTCTCGAAGAGGAGGAAGATAAAATTATCAATAAATTTATTTTCTACATTATTTTAAATATAAAACTAATTAAAATTTATTCTAATTGACTAGAATTTTATATAATTTGGGTTTCTAACACTATATTTTCAAAATAATTTCTCTCTAAAATGATAAGAGATGATGAGAAAAATCCGTGGAGTGGGAGGAATACTAAGGATTTTTTCCCATAAAATCTCTAACACCCCCTGTAAAACTGACGTTATTTTTACTAACAGAAAATAAAATCTTATGATTGCTTTTTAATAATTAGGAAACGTGTTATATATTTTATTTGCTGCCGTAGATGGATAATAAAGAGTCTGGAGAAGAAAAAAACAGAGAATTCTTTACCCCAGGCTCTCGACATCCCTATCTAAAAACGTTCTTACACTTCTAAATTCTAAGTTTAATTTACAAGTAAATTCACAAGAAAAATTAGCAAAGAACAATTGCAAGATCTAAATATATGTTAATGCATATAATAAGCGACTACGCTATTAAAACAGACATTTCATATTTTAGCCGTCACGATAAAGATTCAGACAAGCAAACAAAGGATACGCTTTTTCTAATGCAAATCTTAAAGTTTTTTATTTTTATAAAGTACACTCGGTATCAACTTATAATTAAAACAGTAACTTTCCTTCTAATCTTACATGTTATGGATTCAGGAAAGCATTATCTCGGTTATCACGACATGAATCAAGAGAAATTCCAATATGTGGTAATCAGTGCCAGGATTTGTAAGGATTTGCTTCCATCATAGACACGATTTTAATTACAGATACCATACTTAATTTAATATATTACCTTTCGTAATATTCTAAATTTATAAATTAAATTAATAAATATATTAAAAATATAGGCTAATTTTGAAAAAAAAATTTTTTTAAGGTTGAAAACGTATAAAAGGAAACGTTCTTTAAAATATAATAATAATTTAAATTGTTTTCGATTAATACTTTTAAAAATATTATACAGAAAGTCTTCTATTTTAAAATTTTAACTGCATTTTCTGGGGGTGTTTTTTTTCTTGTTATTCTCTCTTCCCTTTCTCTTAAATTTTAAAAGAGTTGCTAGAAAGTAAAGAGAAAAAGGCAAGGTGGAAAGAATTCTTGAAAATTTTATATATGTCAATGCATTAAAGATGATCGGATGTCTAAATCGTGATTTTATAGTTTGCAGCGTGAAAATGTAGTTTGTTTCATTTATATTGATACTGGTATACTATAAAAATGGTGTTTTCTAAAAGAATAAGAGCAAAGGATGATTAATTAGAAAAATTCTCAAAAGAGTAATAAAAGGAGAAAAATGTTTTCTTTTTTCAGAGAAAAAGAAGAACGTTACTTAAAATCAAGAATTTTTTTTCATCTTAAATGAAGAATGTAAATAATGGCTAAAATAAAATAAATTTAACCTTTTATTAAATAACATTCTATATAAAATTTCTAGATAATTTACATAAATATGTTTATCTTAACGTTGATTGGTTGGAAAAATTGAAATGGGCGGAGTTATGTCTGCTTCTAACGTATCAATCAATATCTTTTATATACTTTATTACTTAATTTTTCTACTGACAGAGGTTTATTTCGTATTCAATTCTGTTTACGAAACAACCTGCTAACAACGGCCATCTTTTAGGTTCGTCAGTTGTCTTTGTTTAAAGGTTTGACCGTTAATAAAGCATTTTAATTAATTTTTTTTTCCTCTTGGAATCTTCTAATATAAATGTAAATGGCTTTAATTAAAGTGTTTCTCGTAAATATAATTACTTTTTGGCAGAAAAAAATAATAATAAATGAAACAATTTAAAAAATATCCGTATCATAGAATAAACAAGAATAAAATAAAGTTATAAAGCAAAATTAAACATTGTCTCTTCTCTAACACATAAATTTAAATTATTCTCTAGACTTTATTAAAAGAATAATAATAATTTATATTATTTAGTAAGCATGAATATTTTACAATTATTGTATTCCTCATTCGACTAATTTGAATATAGTGAATTTCATAAGTAAATATGTCATCGATTTGTATGAAAAATGCAAACATTACAAGTCATAGTCTTGGGAATGCTTAACCAAAACGACTAAACGATACCTCCTCAACGAGATAAACAACAGAACAACTCTAATTAACATCAAGAAGATTAGCTTTCAGACCAGTTTTCGTTAAAGAAAACATGCAAATGATTTAGTCGATGTTTTTGATGTGTTAAATCATGCCTGGTTGCATCGAAACCATTTCGAGTTAACCTCGAAAGAGCGTAACTCGATTACACTTAGACTAACGCATCTTTCAATGTAGTTAATTTAATAGATGATACATTCAAAGAATTGTATTAACCATTTTTTTTCACTTTCCCAGCTTTGTTATATATATATAAAACAGAGGCAAAGTACGGCAATCAGTCAAAAAAAAATTGACCCCAAAAACTTTTCTGTGTATATATGGGGGCACGATTTTGTTTACCCGATTTAAAGCTTAATAACTCCCGTGTTTTTTGTCCAAAATTTCTGAAATTTTCCAAGGAGATTTGTGTATTAGGGGAGTTGTCACGGTTAAATTTTGGTGGTCAAAGGTCCAACGAGTCGAGAGATACAGCTGGTATATATATAAAACCATTACTTGTATCGCAAAGGGGGGAGAGAAAATATCTTCGGAGGACGAAGAGAATTAAGAAAGTTCAAAATTAAGTTATATTAATTAAAACAGAACTTTGGAAAATTTATATTATAAAAACAAAATTAAACAAAATTAAAAAGATAAAAAGTAAAGAAAGAGAGAAAGAGGAGGAAGATGAATTTAAGATTCTCTCGAAGGATATTGAAAATAAGAAGTTAATAATAAAAAAAATTTTTCAAAAAAAATGGATTAATAGCAGTTAGCTAGAAAAAAAGAGATGTCTTTTAATTTCTGATTAATTTTCGGTTAATGAAACAATTTTTTTTTTGCAAGTTGGATTAAAATAATTTACGAAATGATTAAACTGGATTTAAATTATCATGAGATTGTTGTTATTTTTAATATTTTTACGACAAGAGAGAGGATTAATTGATAATACATACCAAGCTTATCGATTAAATTTTAATTATAGTTTTACACATTTTAATTAATACGGTGTTTAATCCGCTCTCAATTTTATAATTTAATACACTCTTTTAGAAAATTTTCGGTATGTTTGATCCCTGGATATTGCCCTTTCATTCGCTTGTCTTTCAGTCATTTCTTTCGCTTACCATCTTTTATTTATTATTTACTTCATCTTTCTTCACTCGGTTCCCATGTGTTGTGTTTATTATTTATTCCATCGTTCATGTGTTGTGTTGTCTTGTGTTTATTTCCCGTGTGTACTGTTTATATCTTGTTTCATCGAGAGCATGTGTTGCTCTATTTGTTCGTTTCACTATTCTTCTGTTCTGTTTGTTAATTGAGTAGCTTACGTGTTCTTTAGTTGTTCGTTTCACTATTCTGTTCTGTTCTGTTTGTTAATTGAGTCGCTTACGTGTTCTTTAGTTTGTTCGTTTTGTTGCCGTTGTAACCCTTTTTTTCCTTCGTTTATTTCGCTGTACGTGTGTTAATTAATTTTTTTCCTTCTAGTATTAGTTTCGTTACTTTCGGCTAATTAATTTATTAATTGCGGATATGCGTTGTGTGTCGTAGAAAAATTCTATAATCAAATAAACTACAGTCATATATACACTAATTCTTATAGGATTATTTAAAAACTGTACCAGAAAATTATACAGAAATACATACAAAACGACCCGAAAGTCACTTAACTATAGTCTGTTATCGTGTTTCAAACACACTTACGAATATGGATGACAAACGTTGTAATTTCTGTATTTAATAAAATTGAAATTTACTTGAAAACGGTTAACCGTATGTTTTCTATATTATAATTATTACTTGTATATTTAATTTTATCACGTTACGTAGCAAATACACTGTACAGTCGACCCCCCCTATAACACTGTTGATAATTCCGTTTTATATGAATTCCATGTTGTACGAGTCACTTAGATTTTACAAATACATGTGCTGGGCTGTGAACGGCTCACGTATTTGTAAAATCTAAGTGACTCGTACAACATGGAATTCATATAAAACGGAATTATCAACAGTGTTTAGGGGGGTCGACTTGTATATATGGTATAGTTTTGTATAAAGATAGGACCTGTATACAGTGTATATCTACTGTAAAATGTTTCAAGCTATTATATAAATATATATTATTATTATTATTATTATCATTATTATTATTATTAAAAACTAAGCGATACCAAAACTACATTAAAATCGTGTTTAGTACCAATTTTAATTACATTTTCTCTCATTTTATTTTTATTCAGCGGATGCAATTTTGACTCTGATACATAAATTTTTTTCTCTACGAGGAAAAAAAAATATATCTTCCTAACTTATCATTAAATTCATTTAAGCTGTCAAACTATCAGAATAATTTAAAATTCATTTTTTAAATAGATAAATGAATGGTGTTTGCATAATTTCACAAGTTAAAGAGTTAATACACGAATATTTTAAAATATTCAAATAGAATTTAATTAGTTTTTTAAGTTATTTGGATCGTGCAAAACTTACGTTCGTGTCTTCTCCCTTACATCTAAATTCGTTAGAACGTAATTTCACCTTCATTTTCCTATATAAATACATCAAAAAATAATTTTTTTTTTAAATATACAGCGACTAATTGAGTAACTTTCCTGGCAAAATAGTTAAAATTGCGTGTGGCTCCATCTATTACGAGATTTTTTTAAAAACTTTTTATATTATTAATTATTATAGAAAGAAGTTTAATTTTGAGGGTAGATATGAGGTGTTTTTTTAAAATTATAATTGCTGATAACGAGTAAAATAGTCATTAATTCCGACCCGACTCGAGACATCATCTATCTCTCACCCCGTCGCCCTTTAACCACCGTAATTTAATAGCATCAATGCCCTTAATATAGAAACATCTCTGCAAAATTTCCGAAATTGTTGACAAAAAAAAAACACAAGAGTTATTAAGCTTCAAATTAGATGAACAATTCGTCCCCCTAAACACATACTAACGTCTATACATACAGAAAAAGACCTCCTGGAAGGCATCCCCCTAGGTACATCGCCCAAGTGTTGAGTTTCCATAACTTAACAAACAAACTTTCTCGACGTTTCAAGATCCCCCGAGTCCAAAAATATAAAAACAAACTTAAGGGGTCATTGTTTGACCGATCCAATTACATATTAATTAATAAAAATATTCTTATTGGGCTTCAATTTAAAAAAATTGTATACCTAAAAATTCCCAGTATCATTCGTCCGTTCGGCTGTCTTTCCTTAATTTCGAGAACGGAATTAGATAGATGACCAGCACGACTCTACTGTTAAAGTAAAAGAATGATTTACAGGGGCAAGTCATTACTAATTTGAGATGGAGAGCATATATTTTAAAAATACGATTAAAAATTGCAGCATGGCATTATGACGATATCACAATAAATAATTACTCGTACATATTAATTTTATATATACATATAAAGTATTTATTTTAACGACTTTTTCTAACTTCTCCTTATAAAATAATTGTATTCTTCTGGCTTAATATCTGACAGATAAAATTTTCAAAATGAAAAAAATAATAATAATAAATAAGAAGAAGAGGAAGAAGGAGGAAAGAAAAAGTTGCGTCTTCGGCATTACAACAAGGCAATTTTCTCTAGAAAACTCTTGTCAACTGCACAACAACTGCTTTCATCAGCTAGTGCCATTTGTCTTAATAAATTCCTCGTTTCTTTCCGAAACTTATTGTCTTCTTAAGGGAAATAATATAGTTGAAATGCTGCGATGATAACTCTCACTAGAATTCATATCAATCTACAGCTACGCCGTGCGAATTACCAATTCCTTTATATGTATAGAGATAAAAGTAAAAGTGAAAATAGTTGAAAAGTGAAAAAAAAAATTAATATTGGATTCAGTTTCGTATAATCTACTTATTTTCAGCACCAAATCATGTTAACCAATATTGCTTTTCTCCTATATCATCCTCAACTTAATACCATATTATTATTATATATTTTTTTCTTTTCTTCTTTTATTTTCTATACATTTTTATTGTGTTTTGAAAATTTTCTATTTTAAAAATTGTTGACAGCTGAATCTCATCCATAGTTATTAATATCGAAGAAAAATATTTTTAGAAATTCTTTATTTATCTTATGTACTTTGTGTAAGGGAAATAAAGATGGAGATTAGGAAGAGAGGGAGAGTGGTAAATTATTATTTTTTTTTAAATGAATAATTTATCTTTTAAAATATAATATTAAATATAATTGGATGCGGATAAAATATCATAAAGGTGCATTCAAACTAAGTATTAATCGATAAATCTTTCAAAAATTAAAGTGTTGATTCGTTTCGTGGTATTTAAATTATTATTTTATATCAGTGAAGAATTATCTTATGGGGAAAAAAAGGGGAAATTGCCTGGGGCACCCATCAACAGTGGCCTCAATCTTTTAATCAAAAATATCTCCCCGAAAAATGTCTGAAGTCGACACTATATGGGCTCCCTAATTCAAATTTGCCTCATGAAGATATAACGCTCCACTGTTTTATATTATTTTAAATCTATTTTAGAACATTTTTTCTAATAAAATATTGAATTGTTAATTGATTTCTCCTTTATAATACAATTTAATTTAGCAATAACCATATTAAAGTATAGAAAACTAAATTCTTACGCTTGTTATTTATTGTATTCTATACTTAAACAAATTACAAACACATAGCTTAATTAAATTCTCTTATATTATTTAAATTTCATATTTACTTATATTGAGTTTATACCCTACTAACAATCATCTTGTTTTCAGTGTCTGCACTTTCTTCACTTAAGAAGATGGATATATTAGCTCTGGCACCTCTCCTATCTTGATACCTTCCGGATATAACACCAGTTGTCCAGTCCTTATCATACACACTACTATAGTCAACGTGCATAAATCATGTTCATGTTGTCCACTATCTCTCCACTGACAAGGCTCTTGACTTGGTCACGCACCTGTGAACAAAGAAGACAGATGTGTTGGCTTGAAAAAGCTTTATATTTTTGACTCCGTGTGTGTCTTTTTCTCTCTTTCTTTTGTCTTACGATACCAGACAGGGGCTATATATCATTTTCAGACTTATGATACTTTCCACTAAGACACAGAGTTATATGATCCAGCAACTGATTCTATCCAGAAGCTATATAATGTTGCCGAAATCTTGGTTTGAAACCTTCCAGAGTTTTAATCATTAACGAAAAAATGAAGAAAGATAAATAACATAAGTTGATAAATGTGATAACAAAGTGTGTTTATTTTTGTTCCAAAACAAGACTGACAACATATAATGTTATTACGGAGGTTCTAAGTGATCTCTGTCTGCAAGTTCTTGGTCTTGCACTTCCATTAGGGGATTTGTTATTGTTTTTCCCACGGCGATTCCAGGCAAATGGTCAATTAGCAAATCGAATAAATGACAAAACAACGTGGATGTTTTTACTTCTATTTTTCTTCTTGTTTGGTTTCTAGTATTGAAACTAATTATATATCAAGCTGCAAATAAGAACGATGGACTGCTGCAAATATCAATTACCTCCTTTTAACCGTGATTTATAAGTTTGATTTTTTGCTCAATCAAAGAACTATTATATAAAGTAACACTTTACAGCAATTATTGAAGCTGTTTTTACAGATTAAAAATAATAATAACCAGCAAAAATTATTCTAACATCGTCACAATACAGGGCTACAACTTTTAATTATATTTTTAATTTAAAATATATGCTCTCCACCTCAAATTAGTAGCCACTTGCCCCTGTACATCATACTTTTCCTGATAACAACAGAGTCATGCCGGTCATCTATGTAACTTAGTACTGGGGGAATATTTTTGAATTGAACTCAGGTGACTTTCGGTCTATACCGGAAGTCACCTGAGTTCAATTCAAAAATTTTCCCCAAAACTTATAAATCTATATAGGAATTTATAGATCTAGAATTTCTTCAAATTTCAACCCAATTAAATTAAATTTGAGATTTGGACATGAAGAAAGGACTGTCAAAATATAAATCATAATTAACTCTTGTAAATATATCATTTCATTTTAATAAATAAAATTAATATGCTTTACTTAAAATAAATGTAAAGGAAATGTTAGAAGAACAGGATAATCGAATGATAAACCAAAAGGATAATTGAAAAAAACAGGTGCCAACCGAAATCACGTAATACGTTACGTGTCAGATGATCTCTCCTGACGTGCCACTTTGGGTGCGCGTGTCATTGATTCGCCCTCCTGGTCTAAAGTAATAATCAGTAACGTGTTATATCTTCGTGGGGCCCAGGAAAAGTTAAATTAGGGGGCCCCATGTACAGTATTGATTCGAGACATTTTTCTTCGAGGGGAAATTTTTGCGGAATATTTTCTTTTAAAAAATTAATTTGGGAACCGGTGGATCCCCAGGCAATTTCCCTTATTTTGCCTGTGGGATGACGCGCCACTGGTAATAATCTGCAAAGATCTTAAAACACTTGGAAAATAATAATTATTTGCTATTATTTTTTAAAATACAGTTAACTCCCTATAACACTGTTGATTATTCCGTTTTATATGAATTCCACGTTGTACGAGTCACTTAGATTTTACAAATACATGTGCCGGGCTGTGAACGGCTCACGTATTTGTAAAATCTAAGTGACTCGTACAACGTGGAATTCATATAAAACGGAATAATCAACAGTGTTATAGGGGGGGTCGACTGGTATAAGACTTGGGAGGAAAGTATTGTTTCTAATCTTGATTTAGAATTAATTTATCAAAGAATGTTTAAAAAATATTCAATTTAAATTATATACAAACTGATTAATTATATTTATCATTATATATACAATATTTAAATTGAATTGTTTACTTATATTTTAATAACGTGAAAGACAATGCAATATATGTGTGTGTATTGAATTGCAATATATTTATTGTTAAACATATATTAAATTCAGTTTTAATAAATAAATTTTATTCAACCGGATGCATAATATTTTTTTTCCTGTAAAACGTTGATTACAATCTTATTGAATAATGGAAAAATTCTTACTTATTGAAATATTGAATTTATGTTGAAATTAATCATCGTCTCGCCTATTTATATACTTTGACCCATTTCTGAATTTTTCAATAATTCTTAAAAATATATTACATGTTTTACTACATGACAAGGGCCTATTTATCTTTAATAAGTTAAAATCAATCGAGTAATTATTGACAGTCTATTTTTAGTAAAGTTAATACCATTAAAAGGTAAAGTTTAAATAGTTTACAACCATAAATTCACTTGACTATTGTTTTCTCGAGTGTATTTAATAAAGCAGAACAGAACAAACCATATAAAATCGAAAGATATTCAAAAAGAAACTGATCGTGCCTCTTCTTTTTGTTTCTTCTTCTTCTTCTTCTTCTTCTTCTACTAGACTCTTTCACTTCTGCTCCAATTCTGTTTAATGACAAAATAAATGTTTACATCTGTCGCCTGTGACTGTAGCTCCACCCCAAGAAGGACAAAAAGCAACAAGGATGACATTGACGAACGGTACAATTTCAGTAAAAGCAAT